GGGCGAGCATCTCATCAAAGGGTCTTTGAATCGCTGGCCCTTGGGCCCAGGGAAGCTGTCCAAGCAGGTTCGTCCCGCCCAGGGACACGGGAGGCGGGGGCTCCTGCCAGGGCCAGTCCTGAACAGTCATCTGGAATGTGGCGAGGGGACCACACACGGCCGAGCCCCCACCCTCCCTTTCAGCACAGTTCTCTCCGCCTCGATCTCTGCCTGTCACTGGCTGCCTGGCTCCGTCTCTGCTGCCTCGCTGTCTCTCATCAGCCTCTCGTCACCGCACAGCCTGTCTCTCTGCCCGGCTCTCTGGCGTCTCGGCCTCACTCTTCGCTGTTTGCCTGCCTCTTTCACGATCTCTTTGCCTCTCATTGTCTTCCTCTCTCTCTCACAAGCCTCTCGCCTATTACCGTCTCACTTTCCACCTGTCTGCCTGCTCTCCCTCCCACAGCCTCTTGATCACCCTCTCACGTTGCCTTTCTGTCTCTCTCCCCATCTTCCTGCCTCGGTTTCCCCACAGTGGGAAGAGGAGTGGACCCTGCTGGGCAAGGAGGAGCTGAGCGGGTGAGTGAGGGAGGGAAGCTGCCGGAGCGGGCGGGGGCGCAGGGAGGGCTGCACCCTGACCTTCCCCTCCCTGCCAGGAGCCTGCTGCAGTCAGTCCAGGAGGCCCTGGAGGAAAGGTGAGGGCTGGGCCTGGAGGCGAGGGGCAGCCGGGCGGGCCCGGTCACAGCTCACACCTCATTTCCCTCTGGTTTCCCGCCTAGGAGCCTGACCATCCGGCCAGCCTTGGAACTCCAGGTGCGGGCGGAGGGAAGCTGGAGCCGGGGTGGGGACAGTGCTGTCCAGGTTGCAGCTGGGATGGGACCAGTTTACAAGGTGACCTGCTGACAGCTGGGCTGGGCCCCCCGACCCTCCCCCCAGGAGCTGGACTCTCCAGACGATGCCGTAGGAACCATCAAGCGGGCCCCCTTGGGACCAGCTCCACATGAGCCTCCACCTGAGGACTCTCTGTCCAGCCCCCCAGGTGAGTCCCAGGCTCGCGGGACCAGGAAGCAGGCCCGGGGCGGGAGGTGGGGGGCAGGAGAGGGCCTGGTGGGGAGGCTGGGCCTGGAATGTACCCTGGGTCTGTGCTTGCAGGAACCCCACCCCGACCTCTCTCAGGCTCGGACAGCCCCCCGCCTCTCCCCACCGCCTGGGCCACCATGAAGCACCAGGAGGATCCTGAGGTGAGGGGGCCGCAGAGGGACTGGGGAGATGGGAGGCCACGGGGGCACATCGTCCTGACTCCGCCTTCCCTCCCAGAGATCGTCTTGCCATGGGCTGCCCCCGACCCCCCAGGTGC